CTTCAACTTACAAAAGAAAGGCTGTAATCACAATGTAAATTTAAACTTTAGGTTATCTATTAAAGAAAAAAAATCAAAGTTACAGCTTTGTGATCAAGGACACATCAGTGCAATGCACTTTTAATTTTTAGATAACATCTACAGTGTTGTTCTGATATTTGATGGTGTTTTTCTCCTAACTCAGCCTGTGGTCAACTTATTTCACTCTGGACCACTAAGAAGATATGACAACATTCCTGCATAAATTGGTAGCAAATGTCTCAGTGAAACACACTGAAAATCAGAGCTAGAAAGTCTGATAACACTGAACTTGTCACTCCTGACTTTAGAGAAAAGAGCTCTGTGAATAATTTCTTCCCCTTATGCCACAGACTGAGATAAATGGGGAAAAAATTGTAATATAGGGAGAAACTAGGTAGAGTCTAAAAATAATACCAATGACTTAAACTTTAAAATGATATTTCTAGCCTTTGAAGGTAGGTTGAGCTCATGAAGATCCAGGGCTATTATTTCCCTTGAGAGTTGGTCATGTTCTCATTAGGGAGTTTACAGGAAGTTGACACTGACCAGTGACTGAGAGTCAGGGAGGCCCAAGACCTCGTAGGCCCCAGCAGTGCCCCTCTGGTCCCTAATTAACATAGCTGTGTATGGGGGAGTTGTGACGTGCATTACTTTGACTGTATGAAGGTAGATGGTCAAGATGTATAAATGTAACAAGGGGCACATTTTCTTTAGGGCACATAGGAAAAATGATGGGAACTATGACATTGAGCAAGCTAATTTAAGAGTCTGCCTGATCCTTCTGCATTTAAGTAGGTAACTGAATTTGGAAGCAATCTTTATGAGTCATGGAAAACTAACTCACTAATTATCAGAGCCCCTGCATATCTGATTATCCAACACAGTCATTTCATGATTTGTCCGTAGGTCCAGACAGTTGTAGCTAATGCATTTTATTTTATTTTATTTTTGTTTGCTTGCTTTTTTCTTTTTCTTCCATAATTTTATTGATAAACAAATGACAATGAGACAGTTTCAAATCAAATTGGTAGGACAGTTTCAATAGTTAACACATTGCATACATTCTTCCTAGTGGTTAATTGCTGTACAAGATGTGGACATGATATCCTATCTACAAACACCATTAGAACAAATCCCTCTATTCATTAAGAGAATGTAACTATATATCTATCCTAA